CCCTTCTGGCGCGATGAATAGATCTATGATAGAGGCAGGGTATTGAACGGTGACCAAAGGCAAAATTGGGGCTGATAAGAGGAAACATTGCGTTTAATGGTTTCCAGATGATGAGAACAATGTACAGTAAGGGCACAAAGTGTGAGATTCATAGAAAAGTTTTCCTAAGAATATTTCCAATCCTTTTCTCACACAAGAGAAAATGGGTTAGGGGCGTTGGGTATAACTTTATGGAACAAAGGGGCGGTGGATCGAAAAACTTTGAGAATCACTGTTTTAGACTCTAGACTAAAGCCTATTGTTTAGTTTGATTTATTTGAATAAAGGGAAACAAATGTTAAAAATTAGAACATTGTTTGACATTTTAATTGAGATTTTATTAAATATGTGTAGTAAATTAATCAAATAAAAATTATCATATAAATTATGTAATTGTTGCAGAAAAAGAAACCCAAGAAAGATCCTGTACTTTCTAAAAAGTCAAGGAATGACCCTAATGCTCCTCCAAACAATAGAATTCCTTTACCTGAATTGTAAGTATCCAAAAAATTTATTTAAAATTGTTTACCCTCATATGTAATGATTTAAACTTGTTTATTAGTATTATAATGTAACATTTATTTTGTCTTATTTACCTTGAAATATTTCTTTATAGTTTTAAGAACAGTTGAGTAAATTCCTGATTAGTTTTTCTAGGCTATAAATAACATAAATATTTCATATTTAATCTTTATCTGTTAATTAGATTGATTATTATTGTTTTTTTAGATTACAATTGTTATGCATAATGGATAATTTAATTTAATTACTTTTAATAATTTAATGTAATTTAAATTGATTTCATATATTTAATTAAACATGATATTAGTTTGATTTAATTATATATTATCTAGTAAATTTTAAAGTTGTTTTAGATTTTTCCTTATCATAATTAACTCCTAAAGGACCTAGAGTTGTCTTTCTTCTTAAAGAAAGTTTCTCTTCCTGAGAAGTTTAAGGACAATTCTGTCATTCTCGCAGGAAAAAATATACGTTCTAATGTGATGTTTCTTCAAACCAGATGCTGCATTATAGTTATACACTAGTGACAAATGTCAATATGGAAAGGTTTTTTCTGCATATAAGAAATTATTGACAGTCTGCTTCTATAAGTTTTTTATGCAAAATTTAAATATAAGGGGGATGATCAAATAATTTTTATTTGACAAACTTACATATACTGTGTCCAGAATGAACCACTATGAAGCCAGTGAGTGATCTAGCCATTCAATTAGTAAGGTATTTGTTAAACTAAGAATTACATGTGGATTTTAGTATATATTAATATATTGATGGCATCAAATACAGTGGTACCTCAGTATACGTCTGCATTAGAATACGTCCAATTCAGAATACGTACTGTTTGGACGAAACAAATTTTGCTCGGTACAGGACTTTTGTTCAGTATACGACTTAATTATATGCGCCATCTATGAACAAGTAGCACTATCGGTATACTAGACCAGGCTAGTTGTTCGCGGTGCAACGGTTTATAACTTTGTTAAATTTCTTCTGATTTTAATTTGTAAGTAAAATTTTATTATTTTAATTAATCATGAGTTGCAAGAAGGCAAATGAAAAGCAAAAGAAAAGTAAAAAAATGACTAGAATCACAATGAAACTGATAAAAGAGATTGTTGAGAAATATAAGATGGCACGTGTGTTCGAGATTTTAACTGTTGCATACCGTATTCCGAGAACGACAATATTGACAATCGTGAAAAATAAAGACATTATTAAATCTGCTAACACTAATGTTGCAAAAAGAGTTAAATCAATTTCTAAACAGAGATTGAAGACATTAGATCATGTTGAGAAATTGCTTTTGCTTTGGATAACTGAAAAACTGAAAATGTGCTGGAGACAGCATATGGAAGCAATTATTTGCGAGAAAGCTAAAAAGATACATGCTGATCTCACGAAAAATCAAGCAGGGACTAGCCAGGAAAGTGAGATGTTTAAAGCCAGCCATTTTTTTTTACAGGAGAACGGATTAATCATTTTTACATTACTTCTTATGGGAAAGGCTGGTTTGGTATATGTCCAATTCGGTATAGGTCCGAACATCAGGAACGGATTAAGGTTGTATACTGAAGTTCCACTGTATATCCAATCAGATAAATGCAGGAAACAGTGCATTGTTTCCTGTTTTTGGCTACAAAAGGACATAAAAACTGGTGGGCATTTAACTGGTGGAAGAGTATGGGATGCATATCTGTCCAAACCACCATTTTGAAATGATATGTGAAGTTCTGTGAAGATTGCAACAATACATACCCACATGTTGAAAATGTCATCAAGCAGAAGTTGGATACTCTTAAATGAAAGACCCTTGAAATACCTGCCATGCACTATGCAATTTTCATGAATTTGATCCTCTGAACAATTTCTGAAAGGAGGACAATTCCATTTGGATGACATGAAGAGGACTGAATTGGACTTTTTTATGCAGCAGCCAACCAACTTCTATCAGATGGGCATTGTTAACCTGGTTCATCAATAGGACAATTGCTTAATACCAGTGGCAATTTCCTCTAGATAAAATGAATCTCTACACCCTACAGCCCTTGAACAGAAACTTTTTGATTATCTCTTATAAAATACCGGTTGAAAGGCCCAGTGCAGGCATCGGGGCATACTAAATAGTTTTCATGCATAACAATGATAAATAATTAATTACAAATGGTTTACCTAAAGTGCACAGATGTTTGGCAGAACACTGTTGAAAGTGAACTGCCCATAACTATCATTGTCATGTACTAAAACCAACATCTCTACATCCAATTCTCATGAAATAACTTTCAAAATACCAACAAGATACTACACATTTCCATTATGATTGCAAAGAATCCGTAATATTACCGTAATATCATGTCTCCAGTTCAAAACATAATAATGAAACAAAAAGCATAACTATCATTGTCATGCACTATGACTTACATCACTATATCCAATTCTTTTTAAATAACATAGCAAGAAGCATGCATGCTGAATACCATCAAAAAGAGTTGAGCACAGACTCTGGCAATTCCTAGGTTTGCCGCTATGCTTTGCTGACATTCGATATGCCAACAGAGACTGGCCATTTTTTCAGTTTTATATAGTAGACAGATAAAAATAATAATAATGAATTCCTATTACAAATAAAAATAATAATAATATACTGAATTATACTGTAACAATATAAAATATATATATAATAATTTATATTGTTAATTTAAATAATAGCTAAGAACATCCCTAGTGGCCATTTTTGGCATACCGTAACAGAGACTGCCCAGTTTTTCACTTTTATATAGTAGATTATTGTGTTACAGTCATAACAATTCGGGATGTAAATGAATATTTTATTATATTTTAAATTACAAAGAATTTGAAATCCTGAAGATATGGAAAAAATGTGTAAACATTTTAATTAATTAAATTATGTTTTTGTGGTAATTCAGTTGTAGTTTATTAACTGATGCATATTTTCCATACTTTTTATGCATATTTTGTATTTTTTTGTGCATTTTTCCATTCATCTAAATATATAAAATTACTTGGCCTGACTGACTGACTTAGTCACTGATTGATTCATCATCACCCAGAGCAAACCACTGAACCTAAAGAGATGAAATTTGGTACACAGTTAGGGTACGTCATGAGAATGCACACTAAGAAGGGATTTTTCGAAATGCCCCCACGGGGAGAGCATTAATGCTTAACCTGAAGAACAGCCTTTGAAATTGATTCCCATACTTTCCCTTAAATTGATAATATTTCAGTCATTGTTATAAATATTTTTATATATTATGATTTTTTAACCAAATGTTCGAACTGTTTTAAATTCGAATTTGTTATTGCATGTTGGTTCAATTATAGAATGATTGTAAATGTTCCAGAAAATTGATCAAATTGAAAATAGTTTGTTTGATTCTCAGCAATTCTCATCATTCTCAGCAGTAGGTATTATAGAACAATTACTATGGTTGTTGAAATACTGAATATAAATGCGGTTTGCTTACAAAACCCCCACGGGTGAAGTCACAGCTAACAGCTAGTATTACATAGTTTTTCATGCGTATAAATCTGATACTTAATCATAATAATATAAAACAAAGGTCACATAAGAGTATGAATCATCTAACAGTACAAATTTTAAATTTCTCAATATTGGCAGTGTTGACTAAGACAAAACCTTTCTCATTTTATTTCTAGCTGTTTAAACACTGATTACAGTGTACCTGAAGAAGGTCCTGAAGATGTATATACTCTTAGATATCATTGAAAAATTACTAAGCCTATGTTTACTTCATTTCTTCAGCTATAAAAATGGGAGGTTTGAAGAGATGAAGTGACAGAAAACTATTTTTACAAAAGAAAATTTTGAATCTCAAAAAAATAGTTTATCTCAAATCACAAAAACTTCTTTACAAATTATACAATTATATTATAGAATTAAATTGTTTAGAAATTTGTTCTCCGTTAAAAATGTGCTTGAGAACATTTCAGTATTAAACATGTTTGTTTTTACATCAAATAACTCTACAAGTTAGAATTTTAAGTGGTTTGATTACTACTTGTTTCTATATCAGTTTATTTTGAGAATTTTCTTTTATTGTAAATAAAATATTTACCTTAATTGAAATCAATAAAACTGATGCTTCAGTAATTGTTTATTAACTTATCCTTTCTATCTAAACCAGTACTTGTCCCACTAGAAAATTGTTTCATAAAATATCAATCAAATTATCTCATCAAGATAAAGACTTGCTGCTTGATTCTTCCAAATTTTCTCATCTAGTAATTAGAAAGTTTGGGAGAATTAGATTGCTGTAAAAAACATTTTTTTTTTTTAATGTAAAACAAGTAAAAATAATTTATCTGAAAAAACTATTTTTCTTATTATCATGTAATAGCATTATAAAAACCAGTGAACAAGTACAGTTATATCTTAGGAATCATCTTATAGAGAGCACATTCTTAGATCCTGTACTGTGTACTCTTTCTTACCTACTATATTTCTAAGAATATGCACTTTTCAAGAATTTTTTTTATCTTCTAGTCTTTTCAAATCATTTCTTTCTGATTTTAATTAAGTAATTTTAGATTAAACTGGAAGAAAGCAATTGGCCTGGAGTGAGACTTGAGCCCACAACTCCTGCTTACCATGCAGATGCATTGCCAGTCATGCTACCTAGACCTCTGGTCCATCTCCTCTTCCAGTATATTTAACATTAAGATATAACCGTCATTGGTTATTATGGTGCCGACTGGGGGTGTATTCAGCGCCCCTCATCCTGTAAACATCCACACAAGTCACTCACTCGGCCATTGCATACCCGACAAGGCATAGATATAAATATATGCAATGGCCAAGAGCAGTGGCGGCCTTAGGGGGTGGCGAGCAGGGCAATCGCCCGGGCCTCGCTCTTAGAGGGGCCTCGCGCAACAACCAAGTAGAAAAAAGTTAATATTTAAAACTTTTTATTTTATCCTTGGCTATTACTTATAACAATAAAATAAATTTAATTTATAGTGCAGTATATATTAATATTAATAAGTGCCTACTATTTCAATTCACATACTTTGCACAAAGGACAAGGGCCTCGCAAAGATCTGCCGCCCAGGGCCTCGCAAAGATCTGCCGCCCAGAGCCTCGCAATAGATAAGGCCGCCGCTGGCCAAGAGTCAATTGATGGTATCAAATCCATATTTATTCTCATAGTAGAGTACTAATAAGGCAACGTTACAAAAGTGCGGTACTCTTATATGATCTTATTGTAATGCTTTTTTTGTAATCTAATAATAATTTTTATACTATAGAAAAAATATATAGCATTTAAGATAAATTATTTTCAAATAAGAATGATGTTTATCTTTATTGTATAAAAAAGTGATACTGATTAATAACAATTAATCTTGATATATTTTTAATTTAGACGAGATGCTGATAGGCATGATAAAATAAATGCAATGAAAGATGCAAGCAAAAGAGTAAAGCTTGGTCCAGAATTTTTGCCATCAATTTGTTTTTATACTTTTTTGAATTCACATCAAGGGTAATGTATTATTTTTTTATTCAGAATTACTTTTTAATTTTTTATTTATAATGCTTTTTAAATTCAAATTTAGTGTCACTTGTGCTGAATTTGCAGAAGATTCTAGTTTATTAAGTGCTGGATTTTCTGATTCTATAATTCGAGTTTGGAGTGTAACACCTAATAAATTAAAAGGAATGAGATCTGCTTTAGAATTAGAAAATATTGATAAAGAAGCAGGTAATATATTAATTTTGCATAATTTATTAAAAAATTAAAATTGACAGAGAAATTTAAACTTCATTTTTGAATATTTTTTGAAATCATAGATGACAGTGGTTAATAATAAGAATATTTATTACTGAACCAAACTAATATTTATGTTTTATCTGTTTATACTAACTAACAAATGCTGAAATCACTAATTTGCAACTAAATTTGTTAGATAAAATTTTTAAATATTTAATAGTTAAATTTTGAAAAATAAAAGTTTTATGAAGTAATTAATAATTAATTAAAGGAATAATGTTTGCAGTTTAATATTGTAAAATAAGATTTGTTTATCTTAAAAGTGTTTTATTTTATTCTGTTTACATAAAAAAATGATTATGCTTTATACATATAAATAAATTATAAATTTTGATTTGAAGAATATGTGCAAAACTAGTGTGAGAACCGAGGGGGTATAGTACCAAGCTTCTCCCCACTTATCAACTTCTGTGTCAGGGATGGTCGGTGTGATCAATGAATAGGAGGGTGAGCAAGATCGTGACGAGGTGTTGGTTGTACTCAAGGATGACACATAATTATATATAATAAGAATAAGGCTTTGTCTCTCAGTCTCCTCAGAAGTAAAAGTTCATTGTACAATGCACCATTCTCTTCAGCCTATTGCATACCGAGCTCAAATGCGTTAATCGCATCTTTAGCTGACACTTGTGGAGTAGTTGCGATGACTTCATCATCATCGTCTTGATTTATTATTGGAATAGAATTTGGGTGACAATCTCCTCATCAGATATTTGCTGGAACACACTTTCTTCTCATGATACCAGATTTCCAAATTTTCTGAATTAATCTGCATTTTGGTAACAACTTGCTTTATGACTTCTGAAGTAACACTGATTTGAGGAGTGATGCCAGGAGTGGTGACAATTTCTGGCCATAAGTTTTTCCATGATGATGTAATGGCTGATGGGGGCAATGCATTCCAAGATTGACAAAGGGAGAAAACCAAGTCTTTCATGTTTAATTCTTTTAATGTTTTTTCTATAGGTTGGTCTTTTGATATGGCTGTCAGCAGCAGTTTTTACTTGTAGTCTTGCTTGACAAACTGAATGATATGCTGATCCATTGGTTGGATCAGTACAGTGCAGTTTGGTGGAAGAAACATTGCAGTGATACATTTATCCTCTGTTGTTAGTTCTTCGGACGGATAACTGGGAGCATTATCAAGAAGCAATAATGCCTTTTGAGGTAGATTATGATCTTTCAACTATTTCTTAACTTCTGGCAAGAAGCATTCATCATTTTTTGGAAATTCATTTTTCAAACCATTTTTTGAAAATTCTTTTGTCATCCACACTCTTTTTTGTCCATAATAGTGTACAGGTAATCAATGTTTTTGAATGCTCGTGGATTCTTTGATTTTCCAATGACCACCATCTTTAGCCTGTGCATTCCCAAAGCATTAGTTCAAGGTAATATGGTTACACATTCTTTGCTCACCTTGCATCCAGGTACAGATTTCTCATTATGTGAAACAAACATTTTCCTAGGTATTACACACCAAAAAAGCCCTGACTCATCTGCATCGTATACCTGTGAAAGGCAAAGATCTAAATCTTTCACTTTTTGTAAAAATCTCAATTTAAATGGCTCTATGCAGGATGCATCATTAGAGAGTTTTTCTCCTGTTACAGTCATCAAATGTATTCCATGATGACTTTTGAAGCTTTCCAACCATCCCTTGCTAGCTACAAATTCATCTTTTTTTTTTGTATCTCCTTGTAAAAAAACTTTGCTTTCATGGTCAATATGGGCCCAGAAATTGTTGTACACCTGTTTCTTTTCTGAAGAAACCACATGTACAAAGCCTCTTCAACCTCTGCATTTTCAGCTTTCTTCAGTGTAGGTACAGGTAGAGCATCCTCTGGTGTTATTGCCACTGTCATATCAATACATTTAAGTAAAAAATAATAAAAAAAAACATGGCGAAAAGATGGACTAAAGCAAGGTTTCGTGCTTAGCATAGCATCAACATTGGTAATTTCATTTATCACATCAAGCATAATATCAGTATCCCTACCTTTGTAAAGAAGTTGTATTTATATTTTTGTAAATTTATTAAATGTTTAAGCATGCATTGATGAAGATTTGTCGTAATAAATGTGCTTTGTATGTACTGTTATAGGCATGTCAGATTATAGGGGGTGCCAGATTAGACGGGCCGGATTACCGCGGGTCTACTGTATTATACTTATCAATTTAATGTAATCATTACCATTAAATATTTTTAGTTTTGGATTCAAACTGAAATTCTTAGGAATAGAATTGAATTTTTACCTTACAGTTATTTGGGTGTTTTGATACTTAGAAGATGATCATATATCTGTATAACTTTCTATACCTTTAAAACTAAAAGCATTATACATTTTATATGGATAAATGTGAAAACAATAGAAATATTTAGGAATTCTAAATTCAAGTATATTTCCTATACAGTCGACCCCTCTATAACATGGTAGATATGTTCCGTTCTTTATGAATCAATTTCTTATGAGTCCTTGCCAATCACAGCCCGACACATGTGAAGTTTACGGACTATAGCTGTTTGAAAGGTTTCTTCCATAAAATTAATCGATTCTAGACTAATTTGACTCAACATTTCCAAAATACGTATATATATATATTTTTGGAATAATTCGTATAAACTACGCTATAAACAAAAAATTGTAGGATTACTTACCAAGTGTGCACCGTTCGACGTCGCCATTGCTCAAGCTTGTTTTCGTTGCGGAGCAATGCACCAAACCGCAGCCGCGATTTCTGATAAGTTATTTTTCTGCGAAAACTTCATTGAACTTTGGAGACATCATTAATACAGGTATACCTCGACTTACGTTGTTTCGAGTTACGTCATTCCCAATTTATACGTCGTTTGTCAAAAAAATATATGGAAAAATAAAAATCAAGTTTAAGTCATTTTATTCGACTTTACGTCTGTCTGCCACAAATATTGAAGTCGTAATATCACTAGAAAAATGTTTAAAGCACATAAAATCATATTATAATATATACATTTACAAGTATATACTGTATTTACAGTACATGCATTCGTAAATTTAAATTACTTTTTTCTGTACTATATTAAAAACTAAAATTTATTTGTTTGTAAGCTTAAAATAGATCCTTATTAACCATATATTATTAAAAATGCATTAATAAATAAAATACAGAAC